GACTCCTTCCTCCCTGCAGTAGTAACTGGAACCTCTGATAACACGCCTGTACAATGTAAATGCTGATAGAAACAATTTCACTAAGCTTAGTGTTTCCATGCAAAAGAATAATCTCGCTCATAATTGTTAGTGAGCATTCACATGACTATGTAAAGCATTAGTTCCTTCGCTGAAAAGGAATTAAGTATCATTAAATTTAGGGTGACAGCAGAAATTGCTTAGGATACTTATCTTTTAAACATCAAATTAATTATTCCTAAATTAAGTACAGTAAGGGAAATTATTATTCAGGCATGCTTTTCCTTAATGACTGGCTATTCATGAGAGATTTTTAAATGGAATGGTTTGTATTTTGTTGCTTTTAAATCCTGTTCTGTAGTGTTTTTACCTAACATTTTAAATATAATGTTTATTTAATTCTTTTTTTAATAAATGAATTCTAAGTAATATTTGAATAATTTACTGTATTTGGCACTTAATATTGGGTTTTTAATTATGTAAGCTATCTTGAATCCTTTTCTAGCAGAAAGGCAATATAAAAATAGTTTAAATAATTTGCCATTGTATAAACCAAACAAATTGCGAGAATTGAACCTATCTGAACAATTAAAACTCAGACGACACACTTTTTTTAACAGTTTTTATCCTAGAGCTATAATTGAACTTAACAAGGAACTTAAGAATCACTAGCAGTTATCGTATTTTTCGCTCTATAAGACGCACTCCCCCCCCAAAAAAGTGGGGGGAAGTCTGTGCATCTTATGGAGCGAATACTGTAAAAGCGCTCCCCAGGGCCCAGCGGGGGGATGGTGGGGGGAACCTCGGAAGGGTCGGAGAGTGCCTTCCAGGACCCTTTGGAGGCTCCCTCACTCCCAGCGGGGGCGAAATCACGACCTTCCAGGAAGCTGGCAATTTCGCCCCTGCTGGCCCTGTGCGGGGGGGGCAGGTGGAGCCTCCAAAGGGTTGGAGAGTGCCTTCCAGGACCCTTGGGAGGCTCCTCCACCCCCGCGGTGCTAGCGGGGGCGAAATTGCCAGAATATTTTTTCCTGTTTTCCTCCCCTAAAAATGAGGTGCGTCTTATGGAGAGGTATGTCTTATGGAGTGAAAAATACGGTAGTTGTTGGATTATATTACTGTTACTTGGTCTGTAGTGTTGTGTGGATACTGTGTGCTCTTAGGCGGAGTTCTGGTTTTAGGGTTGTTTTGAGGGTGTGTGTGCATTTTGGTCTGGTCTCTGAGTGTTCTTTGTGTATACGGTGTATATAAGCTCAGTGACAATAAATTATTATTACAGTGGTGCCCCGCATAACGAGCGATTTGTTTAATGATGAATCTGCATAGCGATAAGGTTTTTGCGATCACAAAAGCGATCGCATAACGATGTTTTAAATGGGAAAACATCTCTTTGTGGTGATCGGTAAGCGTTTCACTTACCAATTATCACATAACGATGTTTTAAAAGCAGCTGATCGGCAGTTCCAAAATGGCCACCCGCAGTGTTTTCACGGCCTTTCCTCGCATACCGGGCAGTGAAAATGGTGGCCGCATGGAGGATTTCCGCAGAACGGTGAGTTTTTTGCCCATAGGAACGCATTGAAGGGGTTTCAATGCGTTCCTATGGGCTTTTTTGCCCCGCATAGCAACAAATCCATATAGTGATGATTTTTTTGAAACGGATTAGCGTCGCTATGCAGGGCACCACTGTATTATATCTTTGAACCACTGGTTCTCATTGCCAGCTTCCCTTATTCCTTGTACTGGCTATGTCAGGAAATGCAGTAGAATACCTCCTCAATATAAATTGCCTTTCTTGTTTTTCCAACAAAAGTAAACTGAACAAGTATGAACAAATGCTGCAAGGTAGACAACCAAATTAATCTGCTTCCTAAGGTACAAAAAGTGTGCAGGCTCTGTTGGTTCTAGTCTATCACCTTCTTGCTTCTCTTTGAGGTCTTAACTTTTTTTAAAAGTGCATCTACTGGTACACATTTGCATTACTCAGAATAATACTGGACCCTGCTTAGTTTGCCCTCTAGATCATCATCATCATCATATGGCATCAAATCAATTCCAATTTATGGTAACCCTTTCCAGGGTTTTCTAGGTAGAGAATATGCAGCATTGGCTTGCCATTCCCTTCTGGGAGCTCCCTGGGATGTGCAGCTTGCCTGTGACAACGCAGGCTGACACTTCTCACAGGACACACAGTGGGAAATCAAACTCTCAATCTCTTGCTTGCAGCCAGATATCTAAAGCACTGAGCTATCAAGCCACCTTCTTAGCTAAAATCTTATAGAGGCAAAGTTAGAAAGTCTGCCTGATTATTCTTCTCAATTCTTGAACTATGATTCCTAAAGTCTTTAAGAAATTTTACGAAAAAGAGAATGGAACTTCAGATGTAGGGATTACTCAAATATCCAGAGAAATCCAGTACATCAATCAAAAATGTTATGAATTTTTTTAAAACCCTCTAAACTTCTAGTGAATAAGAAAAAAAAATCTTAGCAATCAGATTAATTCAATCAAAGCAGATAACAGAAATAAGGTTCATCATACTAATAACATCAGTGAACATAAAAAAAACTTTTACAGCACTTCATTCCTCATCTAGCCCTAAGCCACTGAGCTATTCAGCCAGCCAGATCTCTAGACAATACAGTCGTGCCCGCTTTACGATTGCCCCGCATTACGATGAAACCACATTACGACGACGTTTTTGTGATCGCAAAACGATGATCTGAATAGGGTTTTTTCATTTTACGATGATCGGTTCCCAAAGCTGATTCTTTACAAAATGACGATTTTCGGACAACTGATCGGCAGTTTCAAAATGGCCACTGGGTAAATAAAATGGCTCCCACTGTTTTCTGGGACGGATTCCTCTCAAGATAGCCACCAAAAATGGCCGCCCTATGGAGGATCTTCGCTGGACAGTGAGTTTTCAGCCCATTGGAATGCATTGAAGGGGTTTCAATGCGTTTCAGTGGCCTTTTTAGTTTCGCATTTCGACGTTTTCGTTCTACAGCAATTTCGCTGGAACGAATTAATGTCGTAATGCGAGGCACCACTGTAGCTGGATACATAATATTTCTATACTTTCTATACATAGTTGTCTATACAGTGATAGGCTTCCATCCATGTGTATGTTGTCTTTGAAGGTTGAAGTTGTTTATCAGTTTGTAGGCTTTTGACAGGATATGAATGGCTTTTTAAAAATACTATCATTATATTGGTTGATTAGCCCCCCAAATTGGTATTTTTGAAGTGTTCGTGTTCTGTTATGTGGATTGTTCTTAATTTATCCAGTCTGTAGAAAAAGGCATCTAGTAAGTACTATTATTTCTGACTTTCAGGACTATTTCTGCCAAAATTATCATAGTTTCTTTTGTTCTTGCAAAAAGCCAGAGGGCTTTTCTGAGACATTTAGAATATTTCCATGCAGTTTCTGGATACAACGCATTAATCCAAACCTATTGCAAAATTCATGTACTGTCACAAGAAAAAAAGGCAACATTTTGGGCTTTCATTGAAGGTAGACAGAAATTGGCTATGTTTGCAGTATGAGGAATATTCTTAATCCTTTGCCTCAGGAGTATTTTAATAGTTTGAATTAGGTTCTATTTTTGTTGTTAGTGGCTAGAATCCTATTGGTTGGTTGCACTGCCAGAAATGCTGTGTTATAAATTCTGGTGACAAATTGGAGCTAAAGCTCTGCTTGTATTCCTCGTTGTATACCAGTTGCATAAGTTGGTGTTCAACAAGGGATAGAAAAAATAACTAGCAGCAGCTTGCAGCTGCAATTACTCTTTTTCACTTACACAAGTGTAAATAACCAAAAGGACTCTTGCCATGGTATTTTAAATTGGAGCCTTTTAACGCATATTATACTCTATTGAGATAATAATGAGAATATTGTACACATTTATAGTAATCTACATGTTTTGCACTCCACAAGTATATTCCATAGAGATCATCCATATGAGTATTTATTATTTAGATAGACCAGTGGTTCTCAGCCTGGGAACCCAGGTGTTCTTGGACTGCTGCTCCCAGAAACCCTGGCCAGTATAGGTTGGGAATGGGTAAGGTAGACAAAGATTACATGTATTGAAGAGAATACATACAGTATTAGATACTGGCCCTTGAGTGAGAAAGAGAGACGTTGTTTTTATTTTGGGGTGGGGGGAATATGAAGAGCAAGGAAATTGATAGAAAATTGTCAGAGTAGTTTGAGTTCCTTGAATAAATCACATTTTATTTCTAGAACCAATTTTACAATAAAAAGTGTGCTGCTTATATACTCCACACAGTGCTGAAACACTCTTAGAAGTTTACAGTTCAATTATTCAGGTTACACATTGCCCCTCCCCAGCAAGCTAGGTACTCAATTTGGAAGGCTGAGTCAACCTCAAGCCAGCTGGGATCAAACTCAGGTCATGAGCAGCGTCTTGACTGTTGTTTAACCACTGTGCTGTGAGTACAGAGACAATGAACCATATAAATATTTAGAGCAACATATATGAAACTTGATGGATTATTTGTCACTTGAAAAGCCATTTAAATGTATAATGCTTCTCCTAACAATGCAAAAGGAAAGTGGTTTTAGTTTGGTTTGCTTTTAGTTTTAGTTGGCTGAAACTCTGTTGCTCAGTATTTCTGTATGGGTCCTGCTAGAGTAGGCCCATTGAATCAGTGGGGATTTGGTGAGTGAACAACCTCCATAAGTTCCATTGGTTTAGATAGGGCTACTATAATTGTGACTTTGACTCACCAAAACCCAACAATTCACTGGTCCACAGTACAGTGACTTACTGCACTAAGCAACAGGATTTCAGCCATTGAGTTGTAGCCTTTCTGTGTTAATTTACATTTATGTGTCTTTTTGCCTAGATTAATTTATTTAGTGCTATCTTTTGATTTTACAGAATCTGGTTTCATAAAGTCTCCCATTAAATTTTAAATTCACACAGTGATAAGAAAGTGATATGTCTTCTTTGCAGGTGCTGTTGGTAAGCAGTAGTCGCTACCCAGATCAGTGGATTGTTCCAGGTGGAGGGATGGAACCAGAAGAGGAACCAGGTGGTGCTGCTGTCAGAGAAGTTTATGAAGAGGTAAACTTCAGAATTCTCATTTTGAAATGAGACGTAAGTTGCTTATGTAAGAAGTATTGACTCTTTGAGGGAAAGCAAGTTTTATGCACAACAGGCAGTAGAAGGAATCAGTCTTCTCCATCTCTTTGCACTACCTTTGTGGCAGCTGCTAGTTTCCTCAGGGAGCCTGGGGCAAACATATAAAATGGCAGCAGAAATCTTCAGCTGTCTTAGTATTCATAGTATGGCATATAAAATCCCCAAATATTTTGCTGCCTAAGCAAAAAAAGACAAGATCCTGCTCATCCCCCTTTGCATATGCAAAAGCCATCTGGTAAGGCAATTGAATTTTAACTTCATTGCTGGTGATAGAATATCTTCTTCCACTGAATCTAAAAACAACAGTGTAGCTTTGTTGATGTGGAACATGTCTGGCTGCCTGCTTTATCCTCCATAATCAGCTGCCCCAGGCTTTAAAGTTTGGGTCATCAAATCTCATAGTTTATCAAAATAGCACAGCAGTTAAACTGAGAGACGTGCACTTTGGGTTGTGCCAATCATGCATTTATGTTAATTCATACAGAGATTTTAAAAGAATCTCAAAGAGAGGGAAGGAAGGAGCAAACTTCTTGTCTTGTTCCAACACTTTGCTGGGGCACAAAATATGTTAAGCATAGATATACTGTACTTTGCTTGGATAGCAGGAGGTTTGTACCCAGCGTAGGTTTCTGGCCAACACAAGCTTCTATAAGTCATGAAAAGTACTATGAATTGATACAGTATTATAGAGGCCTATGAAACTGTTAGCAGTAGTTTCTATTATTGCATGATCCTTTGCCACTAGAAACAGTGTTTAGAAATAATTTAACCAGAATAACAGTAGTACCATTAAATACTTCTCTGTGAATATATTCCATAAACAGAAACAGATAGCTATGGCTTGTGCCTTGCCTTAATCATATGAAAAGTAAGCCCACTGAAATTAATGAGACAAGTTTTATAATGAAATTTAACCATAAAATAGTTACCGGGCGATGATAATATTTATTTTGCAAAATTCATCTTGTCTCATATAGTGTCAGTACGCTTACATAACTAAGACGTTTGGAAGGCTGTTTTGCAGTTATTAATGTTTGGTGCTTAAAAATATCAGCCAGATGCTCTGAGCTGAAATGCTAACATAGTAGGTTAGTGACAGACAGTCTTTTTTTCAGACATAGTATCTTGCATTTAACAATGTGTTACAGTGAACCACTTGCATACTCGGTGAATTTGTACACCTCTTTGTATATTTTATTAAAATATTATTAATTTTTTAATTAAAATATTATATTTTTATTTAAATGTTTAAACCAATTCCACTGGGACCTTAAAGTGAATCTGGGAGCATTCTCTTCATCACAAAAGCATTTGTCAATTTAAATAAGTACAAAAATTAAAAATATTTTATTTCAAATATGGATATGAGGGCAGATCAAGAGTCTTGTAAGATTATCATTGTGTGTCTATGTAATGTTTAACAGTTTTAATTCAGCATACTGTACAGTAATTTGTAAAAAAAAAACTCACTTAGAGCTGTGATCAACTCATTGGACCACACAATCAAGGCTTGTGGCATCATTTTTCATTTTAAACAAGAGCAATGAATTGGAAACAGATGCAACAGACATACAGTTAGTATCAGATAGTCCTGAGAATATGAATATGTGGTCTTGGTGTTGGTTTTGAGTGTTAGTATTCAACAATACTTCCTATAGAAATCTGCATCTCATTACCCCCCATTCTTTTCTTTGATGTCATCAGTATAATGTGCGATTGGAAGAGTCACTCAGTGATTACCAGTATTAAAGAGCTAACTGAGAAGCTCTTTCCAGTTTATTGCAAATCACCTAGAAATACCCCTAAAACCTAGGTAATAATACCTTCAATGTACCACTAAAATACTAAATTTACTTGGACACTTTAACAGGCTAAACATTGCAAGGCTTGGGAGGCTGAGGTAGGACACAGAATCAATCTGCCTGTTGATTCCCTTCCAGCTTCTATCCACCCAAGCTACGTTAGCCAGGTCTGAATACTCAGGGCTAAAAATTTGAAGTATATTAATGTAATGCACAATCTTATTCACACATCTGTCCACATCTCAGTTTTGCCTAACTAGTTGTAGGCTTGCTAAATGTATGCTCTTCAAAACAAATAAGGCCAGCAACGTATTTGAACACTTCTAAGCTAGTTGAGTCTTGCACATAACCACTTGCAGGAGTAGAACAGGTGGTCTGAAGAAGCTTTGTTTCAGGGAGATGTACTTTAAAATCCAGTTTGTAGGCTAGAGCACAAACTAAGAGATCTTGAAACTGCATGCTGCAACACAGACACTTGGTGTTTAATATAATAAGTGAATTGCAAAAAGACAGGAATCAGTTGTTGGTAAGGAAAAGAAATTTGATTATCTTTATTGTTTGCAGGCTGGAGTGAAGGGGAAACTAGGCAGATTGCTGGGCATATTTGAGGTGAGCTGTTCAACTATTTTATTATTAGATGTGTACTTTATAAAGTGTCACACATACTTCTGTTAATACAGGATTGGAGAAGTGGTACCTAGACATACGTGCTTGAATTAATGATTGACTATTTAACATTTTTCTGTACTTATAGAAAACAAAATGCAAAAATACTGCAGGGACTCTTTTTGAACAGGACAAAAATCATAAGGGCTGATTCAGCAGAATATCAATACTTCTCTGCTATCTGCATTGTAGATGCCAATGAGGCAGAATAAGAATCTTGTCTTTAGGATTCAACTCTTAATAGGTCCAGAAAACTTACTGATCTATGAAATGTATTGAATCCTGACCTATTTCTATGGTCCGACCTCGAAGGCTACTGGACCCTGTTGAATTCCAGGAGGCCATGAGAGGTGTTCCGGCTAACCTGGCTGGCGCTCCTGTCGAGGCTCTGGTTGACAGCTGGTCCATCGCTGCCACTAGGGCTATAGACACGATCGCACCTAAACGCCCTCTCCGGCTCAGAGCTTGGCCTGCACCCTGGTTTAACCAGGAGCTCCGAGCGATGAAGCGACATAGGAGAAGGCTAGAGCGTAGGTGGAGGAAGAACCCGACGGATTACAATTGGACAGCTGTCAGGGTCGCAACTAACCTTTACCTGACTAAGGTAAAGGCTGCATGTAGATCATTCTTCGCTAACCGGATAAGCGAAGCGTCCAACCAGCAGGCGGAGTTATTCCGTATAGTGCGCGACCTATCTGGAACTGGTTCAGGTGATAGGCCTCCCCCTAGTTTTTCCCCTGACCAGTTTGCAGCCTTTTTTAAATCTAAAGTGGAGGCCATCCGCCGGGAGCTCTCTCCGTTTTTAAAAACAGTGAGTCGAGCAGAGATGTCCAGCGCTCCGTCTTACCCAGTGACTTTCGATTCTTTTCAGCCTGTAACGCCTGATTCTGTCTCCAGGTGCTTGACCGCTGCCGAGCCACCACCTCCTCCTTGGACCCTTGCCCGGCCTGGTTAATCAAAGCAGCCAGGCCGATAACAACAGAATGGGCCACAGTAATAATAAATGAGTCTTTCCTTGAGGGTAGATTTCCATCCGCCCTCAAGGAGACACTCATTAGGCCCATAAGAAAGAAACCTAGTTTGGCGGCGGACGAAATTGGCAATTATAGGCCTGTCGCCAATGTTTCTTTCATGAGCAAAGTGGTTGAGAGGGTGGTGGCCGATCAGCTCCAGGCTCACCTGGACGAAACGGATGCCCTGGATCCATTTCAGTCGGGCTTCAGGCCGCGCCACGGTACTGAGACGGCATTGGTCGCCCTGTACGATGACCTGCTGAGGGAGGCCGACAGTGGCAAAATCTCCCTGCTGGTCCTCCTCGACATCTCGGCGGCCTTTGATACCGTC